CCGTTGTGCCGCTGCCAGGTGCTCTGCCGGGGTGCCTTGAGATGCAGGGAAAGCTGCACAGATTGTTTTTAGGCAGGCCCTGCTGCATTTGATACGAGTTTTTTAATGTCAGTAGGTTATTATATGCACTGGTTGTTTAAAAAAAATAATCCTCGTTGAACAAAACTGGGAGAGCAGGTTTGGAGGATGGACGTGTTTGAATAGTGAAAATGAAATTCTTATGTTGTCAGTTTGACAGCTTGCAGTTGCTCTAGTAAGTACTAGGTCCTTCTCCGTGTATATTTGAGTTCCTCCTTGGAACTGAAATAGATTTGTATCTGAAATGCTGATTTTGGCATAAAATTAATTAAAGGCTTATTATTAATCTCTTTACCATATTGTTAGTGAAGAATAAACTGAAATAATAGATTTGTCGTAAGAAATGTGCACAGTGAACTGTATTGATTTAAATCATATTTAAATACGAGGTCACATGAGGGACTCTGTTCTCTCTCTGCTAGAACTCTTAAAACACTGTAGAGAGAAATGTTTTGATTTTGTTTGTATGTGTTTTGTTTGTGTTGTGTTTGTATGTCCAAGGATTAGTGGATATTGTTTTGGTGATCTTGTGTATCAGGACATATTTATGTGTAGTGTGTAAGTGTTTAAAGATACTGAGATGAAGGAGGAGCTTTTAGAATAATCTGTTTTGGAGAAACTGTCATTACTGTTTGCAGTTGCTTCTAGAAGCATTTAAAAATGTATTTCAAAGCTGTTCATTCAGCTATAGGATAGCTGAAGGAATGATGTATCAAACATTTGCTATGTGTGATGGTTAGAAACTCCTAACTGTACTCTCATATCTAATCAGAGTAATTACGTGAATACTATTATTTACCTGAAAATCAAGGCTTCATAGTCGGGTGTAGTCAGCCTGTGACACTTTATGCAGCTCAGGTATGGCTCCTTTGTGTGACACAGAGTGAGGGGCCATGGTGCAGAGATGTCAGGTACATTCAGCCTCAGCATTGGGAAGGAGGAAGCAAGCCAGGAAGGAGTGCTGGTCTCCTCTGGGTGTCCTGTCCCGCAGCAAAACTAAAGCAGTGACACCCCAACATGGGAGCTGTTGCTTTTCAGCTGTTCTGAAAATCACTTCTCTGTGGTTTTCTGAGATAGGAAATAATGTATTTTGTGGCTTTCAGGCGTATGAAGTTTGGTATGTAGCCTGTAGGTTGGGAGGGTTTGCTGTCCTGGTCTAGTGTAATACATCTCCACACCTGTCCCTGAAAATGTGCTATAACAATGCTATCGAAACTGAATGTAACTTGTCAGACCATGAGTTTCGCATTTGATATGTGATGAAATATGTCAGCATTATTGACTCTTGGAAAGGAAGAAAGGGATGGAAGAAAAGATGGAGGAAAATTTGATTGTTAGCAGGTTCTGCCTTCTGAATAGGAAATGCATAACTTACTAGAGAGTAACGGTATTTAACTCAATAGATCTTTTGTGTGTCTATGTGCACTTTATTAGTCGTTGTACAATGGAGTTTGTGTATTGTCCTCTGTGGAGTAGTAACTGAGCAGTAAAAGTAACGTCTGCGTAAAACCCTTCCAGATGTAGCTAGAGTAATATGTGGAGAAAAAAAACTTTAAAAGTCCAGTGCAGAAAGTGGGACTTCATGTTGCAGTGTATGGAGATGGAGTTAGTGGACTTTGTAGCACATGCCTGTGGAATGGATAAAGTGGCTTTTAAGTTGGAATTTTCCCTGTTTTCTCAGGAGGTAATTTTTAAAAGGAGAGATTATTCAGTTATTCAGCCTGTGGTTGTGTTAGAGGTTGCTTCCTCATGCAGATTATGGTATCAATACCCCATTTTTCAGGGGTAATATTCCTTCATCTTTTGCAAAAAACTTTTCAGATACCAGGCTGTTCTTTCCTCTCTTAGCTGATTTCTCTTCTGTCTCTGATCCCTCTGTACTAATCCTGAGTTCAGATATTCTCTCCCCTGCCTGATGGCCTCGTTCAGCCTGATGGCCTTGCAGCAGTTTGAGTAAAAGCGGTGGTGGAAGGGCTCTTCCACGCAAAGCCCGATATGGCTGCCTGTGTTGCAATTGCTGTGACACATAGATCTGCTCCTGGTATCAGTAAGATGACATGGCCATTAAAATGTTGGCACACTGCTATCATAGCATTGCTATTACAGTGTGAAGATAAGTGATAGTGATAGCACCCGTGGAAAACTTTTAAGAGTTTAAACTCTGTAGAGTTAAGTTCACCTGTCAGTCCATATTTTATAGGAATGATTTTGAGACTGTTTTTTGTAGCTTTCATCACATGCTGACAGTTGATTCCTAATGATATTGACTGTGAAATGTAGGGCTTCTCTTTGTTTTATGGATGCTGTTAATCTGTTTTGTTCAAAGTTGGCATTAGACTCAAACTGTTAAGCTGTAATTTAAAAAAAGCTTGCAAAGTTTTAAACTATTATACAAACTAAGGGGGCAATGCTGCAATTTTACTAAAGAGAGCCAGGTCTTTAGAAGTGAAGAGTTTTCCAGGAGTCTTCCGTAGCACGTGTAATTGCTGGGCTAAGAGAGTTGTCAATGTGATAGTGAGAATTCCTGATTTAAATCCCAATTCAGGGGGATTTCTGCATGTTTAAAGCTGTTCATTAGCTTAATACAGTCTCAAATGAGACCCAGGAGTATTTTCTCAGGCTACCTCTTAGATGGTTCATGTAGAGTTCTTTTGCAGTAAATTCTTTATTATCAGACAGAGTGAGTTTAGATATCCTGGTTGCTGGAAAAACCTGTATAATTTATGTATTATAAAATGTACTGGGAAGCATAGAGCAGGTATTCAGGGACAGTGCGACTATAACTGAATATAGGGTGTGGAATGGGAGGGGTGCTTCTTGCTGAGCTCCTCTTGAGCTTTTCAGATGTGTCTGTGTTCTCCTGTGCTCTAGGTTCTGAGGAACTGTAGCTGAAAATTTTGAGGGCTTTACGTTGGTGCCCAGAATGGTAAATTTGAGTTCAGTGGTTGTTGAAAGGTGCATCTTGATACATGATGTGTACTTCTTAAAAAGTTATTTCTTAGCATTGCTGTAGGAATGTACTCTTGTGGAATATCGTGTTGTTATTCCTTTATATTTGCATGTAGGCCATACAATGTGTTGCTGAAAATGTTTACAAGATTCTCTTATAAGAATAAAGTGACACAGCAGAAGACATAAAACAATTACATTTAGAAATACTTTTTGCTATTTGATTCTTAAAAGAAATCAGAGGATTAAACAGATGGCAAGAATGAGTAGTTTTTGAATAATGAGCAGGATGAATAGTTAAATGCATTAGTGAAAGGCCTTAAAGCAGGGTGAATTTTTTTGTGTGTAAGCAAGTTTTTTTTTTTTTTTAGTGTGTAAGTGTGCTGCATGTTGTCGCCTCTAATCTACCCTGGAATTATTGCTTTAGTTAGACTATTTCGTGCCTGAGTTTGTTTCTTTGAGTGAAGAAGTGATCAGAAGATGTGCTATATTAACACTGTGTGTTTAACTTGCACCATGTCAAATATTTGTTATTTTGAAGGGCTTGCTGCATCCTAGGAGTCTTAAATTTGCTTTGTTGTAATTCTGTGTGCTGCTTTTAGGATTTTAGAAGCACTACTCAGTGTTCATTGATTGTAACTGAGTTACAGTATTTGAATGTGTGACTGTCATTACGTATGTTCAATGTTTAGTGTTAAAAATGTTTGCATTTCAACATTCTGCTAATGGTTATCTCTTTATTATAGTGATAAACAGAGAAATTGACCATGACAACCTTCCTGGAATTTATCCAGCAGAATGAGGACAGAGATGGAGTTAGATTCAGCTGGAATGTTTGGCCTTCAAGTCGTCTTGAAGCCACAAGAATGGTAGTCCCAGTGGCTGCCCTCTTCACACCACTGAAAGAACGGCCAGACTTGCCACCTATTCAGTATGAGCCAGTTTTGTGCAGTAGGACCACGTGTCGAGCTGTTCTGAATCCCTTATGGTAAGCCTAATACATGTGTTATGCCAATATTTTTCCTTACAAACGACCTTTAGAATAGTGCCAGTTAAACTCTGCACAAGATCTGGTGTGTGGAAGTGCAGGCACTCCTCATGTGAGTATACAGCTCAAACGTCTAGATCATAGAAGTTTCTGCACATAGATTTGCATATGTAACATACATAACTCAAGACATGGCTTTCATTTAACTAGTCTTTTCAATGTACTTCATCTAATTAATGATTAGGTATGTTGTTTTTCTGGAACTGCGCATCTTGTGATGTGTAGAGGCACGATCTAGAGGCATTTTGCTTCTAAAAAATTACTTGTGTAAAAAGTTACTATACTGTATCTTTTTAACTATTGAGCCCTGATCTAGTTTAATTTTCAAGTAAAAGAAGCTGTATTTGTTACTGCCCTTATTTAATTTTTAAACCAAAGCAGGTTAGCTCATTTAGTTTACCAAAATAGAAGCTGAAAGATGTGATAGGTCAGAAGTAGGAATCAGAGAGGGTGAAAAGCTGTTTAAAATAAAGGGTGATACTGGCACAAGCACAAATGATTGTAGGCTAGTCATAGATAGGTTTAGGTTGGAATCAGAGGAAATGTTTCATATATCATTCCAATTATGGAAGTAGGGAAAAGAAACAGAACAATTTCTAAGATGGAGTTTGATAGGATGGGAAAGATACTGAGTGACAGTGAGGGATTAGACATGATGTAAAAGATCCTTCAGAACTATCTAACTCAGTTTAATGAACTTGTCCCTGCTTAGGAGAAAAGACTGTTTCAAAGCAGATGTACAACTGCATTTCAGTATTAAACAGATACAGTGGCTGGAAGTCACACTTAGTGGAAGCTAACTTTTTCAGAAACGTTATCTTTTATTTAGGGTTGTAAGAAAAACAATGGGAAGACAGAGCTGGAAAGGGTCAGTGAGGTCCCTGGCATTACATTGAGCTGTGTACATTTTTCGTGTCTCATGTATGCAAGTCATGACTGGATTTTTTTTTTTTTTTTTTTTTTAAACAAGATGTGATTAGAGACTCGATTTGAGGGGACCTTTTGAAGGCTGTGTGGCACAGTGTATAGATAATCTGCAGCTCCTGAAATTGGTATAGATAATTTAATCTCAATAGAGCTGTGTTGTGTTTACAGCGTGCTGGGATTTATCTGAAGATTTAATGATATTTTAAAAAGATTGTTGCCCTTGTAGACAGGAGAAGATGCAATAGCAAGAAGTATTCTTTAAAAACGTGTAAAGTTTACTTTCCTTTAAGATGCGAGTAGGACTTTGTAAGACATCTGTATGGCATGAAGGTACAAGTTGTACCTTTTATTTTAACTATCTGAATACTCATAAAAATGTAAATAAAAGGGGTTAGGCTCATCAATTGAAAAGATGTTATTTTCATGAAAGAGAGAGAGCTGTTAAGTTAGAAACTGTATTTTTATGGCATGATGTTTATTCAGGATAGTCTGACAGCTCATAGATGTAGGCTGAGAATTGAGGAAAAACCCAAAGATGTAGGAAGAGTTAAAGTGATTTGCCTAAAACCATGCAAAAAGTCTCCAGTAAAGGTGCTGAGTCTGTATTCTTAAATTTCTTATTTGCTTCTTTTCCTTGAAGATGATTCTTCCTCTCTGAAGATGATAATTTCCCTGATATGTTTTCCCTGATATGATACGCTTACTTTGAATTTGTAATATTTAGAAGAAAATGTGTAAGGATAAAACTTTTTCAAAGTCAATGTGTTTTTGAAAAATCAAAAGAAATGTATTCTAGGGTCAGTGGAGGAAAATTAATTGTTCATGATATATAAACTTTTCTTATTGTATTTTTATAGCCAAGTGGATTATCGAGCAAAACTCTGGGCTTGCAACTTTTGTTATCAGAGAAATCAGGTAAGAAAATGAAACATTCAGGGTATAGAAAATCTTTTTTATAAGATAAAAATGAAAATCCTAATTTTTCAAGTTACAGTTGTGAACTGAGATTGACAGCAAGAGCATGAGTGTGAAGTTTTGTCTGCAGAGGTTGCACTGTGATTTTTTTTTTCCTGACAGTAATAGTGAACATCTGTTGCAGAGGAAAGTAATCCATATGTATGTTTTTGTTTTTGTAAAAATTATTATCTTTTCTTTATAATTAATTTCTGTGTTTTTATTTGCAGTTTCCTCCTACCTATGCTGGCATATCTGAAATGAATCAGCCAGCTGAACTTCTGCCTCAGTTTTCCAGCATTGAATATGTAGTACAGGTAAAATCATTAAATAAAATCTTTAGCATCTATAACATTGCAATATACAAAAATAATTAATTTCTATTTTATTTCTTCACTGTGTTTTAATGACTGTGATTCCATATGTGCTTGTTAGTAGATTGAACGTTATGTCATTAGTTGGAAATGGAAAACTTAACTTTATAAGAACAGAAGGATGGCTAATAAGACTGGCTTAAAAAAAATAAAAAAAAGTAAAAAGAGCAGTCTTTTCTAAAGACAGTATTTCTGTTAGGTCTGTTTCTTTATCAGGAATTTAATTGGTGTTTGTGCCAGGGTTCTGCTTACTGCTGTTGCTTGCTTAAATGGTTTCAGTTCAGATTTGGCTGACTGTTGGTTAATTTTTCATTAATCATTTGAATTTCAGTTTGTAATTGAATGATTATGAGTTAGTTTCAGGGCTCACTGTTTTAGAGAAAACAGTTAATATATATTCAATTCAGGTGTTTGAATTTTAATATTAATGCTTTTTTAGGATAGAAATTACTTGACTAGAAATAAAAAATGGACCTACAACCCAAAATAGCAAACATTTGCAACTCCAAATTTGTAATCTCTAAATTACATTTTTGAGGATTAACACTTGTGAGACTTTAATGAGGCGTTCACATTATGAAGAGAAGAGCGAGGACTGAACAGAATCTACCTCTTGCCAATTCTTGTAACACAAAGTAAAGGGAATATTTGCTCGTAGTATAGCAAAATTAGTTCAGAAAGAACAAAAAGAACTGATGATCTCTAGAGCAAAATGATGAGGTGAAATGCCACAGAATGTCATCAGCTTGGGATGTTTTATAATTGTGAATAGCTTTATGACTATTAAGTTCACTTAGAGCAATAAAAGCTCAGTATATATTAAAAGATTTATATAATTGGCACATACTTCAAAACTGTAATGACATCCTGAAAGGATTTTTTTTTATTCTGTGGTAAGCTTTTAATTTTTGTGCAGAGTTTATTATGGTAGGGTTTTTGTTCCCCTTTAGCCCCAGGTACTGATTACTACTTGAGAGGGAGGTAAGTTAGATGAAACATTCACATTATTGGTATGATTTAAATTAAAACTTTTGCAAAATGTTCATTATTTGTTCACTTTTGATCCTGTAAATATTGCAAGATTTGCTTTTCATGTAATTATATTTGTGTTTCTTAAAGCGTGGTCCTCAGATGCCTTTGATATTTCTTTATGTTGTGGACACATGCATGGAAGATGAAGACTTGCAAGCTCTGAAGGAATCCATGCAAATGTCGCTTAGTCTCCTGCCACCAACAGCGCTAGTAGGTCTCATTACCTTTGGCCGAATGGTACAAGTTCACGAGCTCGGCTGTGAAGGAATTTCTAAGAGTTACGTCTTCAGAGGAACAAAGGACCTGTCTGCAAAACAGCTGCAGGTAACACACAAAAGCAAACAAAAAAAAAAAACATCAAGGTGATGATGATGAAGAATTTCACATAGTCTATAAACAAAATTTATAATAAAATATTATGTTTTTGACTCCAGGAAATGCTAGGGCTTACAAAAGTAGCTGTTTCACAAGTTGGTCGGGGTCCTCAAGTGCAGCAGCCACCACCTTCTAACAGGTAATGTGCTTAAAACGTTTGAAAAATGTACCTTGACTACACTGATTTACTGGAAAACTTAAGTTTTATGACAATGAAAAAAATCAACTGGCAGTTGAACCTTTTTATCAAGCACAAATTAACTAGGAGACTAATGGTTATAACCTATTTCTTTCCTACAGTTTGTACTGGGAAGGAAAGACTTAATGGGTGATAGTGAAATAATCTGGATGATGCTTTTGAAATGTTCTGAGAGAACGTTATATAGGCATACTATAGATAATGTAAATAGCGATGCTTCTGTTGGTTGGTGTGCTGGAGAGGGTTAATAGCTGCTTTAGTGCCTCTTTCTTAAGGGGATGTCCAGTTTTGCCTTCCTTTTTTCTCCCTCTTCTGCTCCTCTCTCCTCCCCTTCTGTCTCTCATTTGGAAATTGTGCATTGGTGTTTGATTCTCCTATGTATTTGACTGTGACATAAAAGGAACTGAAAAATGATAAAAAAGAGAGACAGTTTTGTAGTCTTTGCCTTCCAATAAATAGCTGGATTTGTAGACATCCTGTAGCAGAGAGCGTGAAAAATTCTTTATATGTTAATATTTCTTCTGATCTTTGATTTTCACTGACGTAGTGAAACTTGGGTTTCTTTTTGAGATTCATAGGTCATCATCTGCTGTGTTCTTTTGACCAGACAGAGTTCTTTCTGCATAGTGGCAATATCTCTTAAGTCAGCAAGTTTTTATTTTACAAGCTCTTTGCCAAACTTCTTAAGCTGAGTGTGCAGTGTATGTAATACCAAACTGTGTTATCTCGATGAGACAGAGACATTGCTCTGCATCCAGAAGAGAATCTGGAATTGGACATTGCTAAGATATGTCTAATACATTGCTAGTGAGCAATTAATAGAATTTGTATTTAACAATTTGAATCTAAACTAACTCCATGATTTGTTTACAGATTTTTGCAACCAGTGCAGAAAATTGATATGAATCTTACTGATCTTTTGGGTGAACTGCAACGGGATCCCTGGCCTGTTCCACAAGGAAAACGGCCCTTACGGTCTTCTGGAGTGGCTCTTTCTATAGCTGTAGGGCTCCTTGAGGTAACATTTTTAACTACAGTTGTGCTGATGTGTAAACAAATCATTTTGTTGCAGAAAAGCTGCCACAATCAATATATAAAAACCTTAGAAGTTGATGCGTATTAGATTTGTGTGATGGTTCTCATGGATATTACCCCTTAGAGTAATTGTAGGTGTTAATGCATTTTAATGAGGCAAAATTGAGACTGATTTAACAGCAGATTTAAGTTTTGGGAGGGAAAAAGTACAGTTATTGTTAGAATCCTATCAACGTGATAAATAAATACCCAACATGAACATACCTACTTCTTTTGTTCAGTTTGTAGCAAAACCTGATGTTTTTTATTTGTCTTTTATTTCCTGCAGTGCACTTTTCCTAATACTGGTGCACGTATAATGATGTTTATTGGAGGACCAGCTACACAAGGACCTGGCATGGTTGTAGGGGATGAATTGAAGTTACCTATAAGATCATGGCATGACATTGAAAAAGACAATGCCAAATATGTTAAAAAGGGTACTAAGGTAAGAGATGATCATGAGTGATATTTTAGACATCTTATCAGTAAGTGAACATTGCCTGGCACTGTAAAATACTACTGTTAGTAGTAGCAAATGTATAAAAAACGGTGTGGTTTTGTTTACCTGTCTCTGAATAGTGGTATGTCTTCAGGAATTTCTTCAGAAATTTCAGTGTATTGAGTTAGGACTTTGTCTAACTTTAAAGTTATTTGGAGTGCTTCCCTGGTTTAAAGTTAGAGAAGATTCATGTGACAAAATGATACATCTAGAGTAAGGCTGCCTGCTTCTAAAGACAGCTGCTTGAAACTGTCTTTGTATTTCGGGGAGGGTTAGGTGGCAGAGTTTGGGCATAGTTCATTTCATCATAAATGTACATTTGGGCAGGGGAACTGCATCCAAACCCTGTTGAATTCTTCTTGAGTGATTATAATGGGAGCTTAAATGATTAGCTCAGTTGCAGGCACCTGTCGTTACAGACACTTGAAATAAGAAAGGTAGATTCAATTCTGTGTGTTGCATCTAGTACTTAATGCAAAGTTTAAAAATGAAAGATGGAGGTTATTTTCTAGTTTAAATAGCAACCACTGGTCTGTCTAGTGTGAGTCAGGTTCTCAGCTGGTCAGAAAAAAACCACAGATGTTGAAAATTCCAGTCTTAACTTTAGGAAAAAAATACTTTTAGCTTGTAGTAGAATATGATGTGAATAAAGTCTGATAATATTGTTCTAGAAAAATTTTGGGAATTTAGGATTTAATGTGAAGATGAGGAGAGTTCACGTCATAAATTGCTATGAACTGTATTTTCATCTTGGATTTAGCATTTTGAAGCCCTGGCTAATCGGGCTGCAACAAATGGTCATGTTATTGACATATATGCATGTGCATTGGATCAGACTGGTCTTCTGGAGATGAAGTGTTGTCCCAACTACACTGGGTATGTGCCTATTCATTTTTAAGTAGCATATGAAAGTGCAGGTTGTTTGTTTTTGTGGTTTTTTTTAAATGATTTAACAGGAAGCATTTACCAAAAGCATTCCGCTACTTCAGAAAACCAACAAACTAACCCAAAAAACCCAGCAAACCTACTCTATGATGGTTGCATTTGTACCAGAGTTTTGCAGTTTCTCAGTCTCTGGCAAATTTGTCACCATAATTGTGGGTTTAATCAGAAGGTTTTTTTTTTTTTAAATACGATCTGTTTGAGACTTAAATAACATGGATATCTTTCAAATAGGCAGTTTTATCCTATGTACTGTTGCTATTTCTCTTTTTCAGTGTGTATATGTGTAAGGTGCAGGTTTCAGTAAAGAGAAGGGTCTGTCATCTTTCTTTTTCTTGCTCTTCAGAGTGATATGAAACCCTGTGTTATTCCTTCTATATACTGTTGTTCATAGGCTCAACCACTGTCTTAGGTGATTGTCAGTTACATCTGTTGCTCCTCATTTTTGCTCCCTCTATCCAGTTTTACGTTTCAGACATGGTCTTGTGTTCCCCACAGCTTGCCTTGCCACCAGTTCATTTTAACAGGATGAAAGCAAGTTCTAGTCTTTCTCATGAAACCAGTTTCCTGTTTTCTGTCACTCTGGATGACACCCTCACCCTTCCTCTTACGCAGACCTATGGTCTAGGACAACCTTTGACTCTTGCTTGTGTGTTAAGTATGTAATTAATTTTGTAAATCCTGCTAATTCTTCCTCTGTAGTTTTTCAAAGGCAGTCTTTTTCTTTCTCTTTCTGACTCTTTTCTACACTCATAGTATTTCATCTTTGCTGGTATAGCCACCTGCTTTGTATACCATTTGATTTTTAGGTTAGACTTCTGTATTCCATCTGGATTATTTTGCCAAGCTCCTTTTTCTTGCTTGTTATTGTTAGCTCTGTCAATACCAACTGTAAGTAAAATTAAATGAAGCATCTTTGCCTGTCAGTTTAATAACTGGTGTATCTGTGGGTAACAGGCCTTCTTGGTTGCTTGTCAGTACCTCCATGTGACAGAGGATCCTCAGCCCACGCTAGGTGTCTCGGCATAGCAAGAAGAGTGAGAGGTGCAGTTGCAGGCTGTGGTGAACATATGCTGCTGAGTTTTGGGCCAGCTTGGCCATGATAGTCACTGCTGGGTAGCTTCTTTTTGGAGGTGTGTTTGTATAACCTCAGCATGGGAGTTTCTGCTGCTTAGTCTTTAAGTTTATGACTTTACCTGCATATTTGATTCCTATTCCTTTTCTGCATCAGACTCATTCCTTTTCTATATACTGCAGTGTGATTTTGCTCTTTCTCTCTGCTCTTGTGACTGACCTTACCCTGTTTCTGCTCTTCCAGCAAAACTAGCCTTAATGTATAGTTTGTCCATTTCTTTTACAGCTATTCCTAATTACTGTTTGGTTACATCATACATACAGGGAGGGATTTCTGATTCTGCTGGTGTCTGTTGGTGTTTGTTGTCTTCTGTCTTTGAGTGTCCACCTGAAAACTTCTGTAACTTCTTTCTGGTGTAATATTTAAGCTATTAACATATTTTACTCCTACGATTTAATTAATATTTTTTGATGAATAACAATGTCTCTCATTATTGTTTCCTAAATGCAGTAAATCATAGTTCATGCTGAGTGTCAACTGTTGCAGTTACATCCACAGAATGTTGCTAAGCATAAAAACAGATCATGCTTCTTGAGCATAGATTGAAGCCTGAAATAATGAGTGAACTACTCAAAATAAAATGACATGGTAATAGGTTTGCAATATTGAATATTGGAAGTAGTTAACTGACTTCGCTTGACAAGGTTGTGAGACATTTGTGGTGTTGAAGTTCAGTATATTATCTTCCCAGTGAAAGATTTTGTTATATATTATAATCACAGTGACCTTAAGATGCTGACTGGGTAAGAAACTCACTTACAAAATTCATCCCTAACATTGTAGGAAAATATTAATTTAATAATAGTCCGTTTTAAGAAGGCAAAAATATACGCACCGTTAACTGTCATTAGTCTTAACCTTTAATAGAAAGAAGCTACATAAAATCCCACATGCTAAAGTACTGCATAATAAATAACCTGTTTTAACTTGAGGGTTTTGTTTGTTGTTTTTGTTGTCTAGAGGCTACATGGTGATGGGAGACTCTTTCAATACATCTTTATTCAAACAAACCTTTCAGAGAGTATTCACAAAAGATATGCAAGGACAATTTAAAATGGGATTTGGTGGCACATTAGAAATAAAGGTAAGAATAAAAAATGCAGTGTGTTAGTGAAACACTGCAGTAGGATGGCTGAGAGCTGTGGAATCTCTGACCTTGAAGGAGTTTTTAGGAACATGCTGAACAGACACGTGTCAGAGCTGGCTTGGACGTAGCTGTTACTGCCTAGCTATCTTTTTACAGTTCTGTGATTTGTTAATATGAGTTAGGTATAATGTTAATTCCTTCTTACTCTGCAGTCAGTGACAGCTAAAAGGGAGACTGAACTAACATTCATGTCTCTGTTAGAAACTCACAATGCTGTGTGCATAGATTTTGGTATCAGTAGTGAGTGGTTCTTGTTTGTGGGTCCAGGTTTTCTACATAGTCTAGGCCAGCTTTCCTTTCATTTTCCATCCTTGTCAGAACCCACTCTGGCACTTTGCTAATGTTCATTTTCACCTCTAGTGTTGTGACAAGCTTAGAGCTGAATGTGCTTGGGTTCAGGTATGGCCTTCCATGATGTTTCTTGCAAAGTGTGCTAGAAAATAGACGTTATCCTGTGTACTTGCTAGGCTCCTAGGTTTATAAATAACTGCAGCTTTTCTCTGTTTTTTAGTTTATGTTCATGCTGTTGTTTCAGATGTACTAACTGGTACAGCAGACATACGTAATTAAGTGTAGAAAGTGAGCACATTAAAAGTTTGTTTAAATGTATCGAGTAGTATGATATGTATAACCTCTCCTAAAGGTATCAAGAGTCTGATTTGCATTAAGGTTTTCATTACCTAATGATAAATAAGACTGAGTTCTTCCTAGTGTGGCATATTAATTTATGTTTTTCTTCTAAATATGGAGACTTCAAGAGAAGTAAAGATTTCTGGAGCAATTGGACCCTGTGTGTCTCTCAACTCTAAAGGACCTTGTGTCTCAGAAAATGTAAGTTAACTTTGCTGAAAATGAAGGTAGTATTCTACTATGGAAAACAGGATTTAGGATTTTTGAATTTGGAGAGAGACTGAAACTTTACCATAAATGGAACAAAGAGCGTTTATTGTTTTACCAATTTTAAATTAAATACATGCAAGGAATTAGTTGTGGGTTTTTTTTTTTTTAAGCTCCTGTTCACTGCTAGATTAGATTCAACTTGTGTTTGACCTTGTAGATCCCTTGTTGCTTGGTTAGGTTTGTTCACTGAGTGGCTGCTTTAAAATTATTACAGAGAAGTTACATACTGGCTAAGCAGAAACCGAGTAGAAAGTGAGTTAGCATGCTTTATTGTTAAAGTCAGAGCTATGTCCTTTTATCCAAACAGAGAACCATGAAAATACTTTGTTTAGAAAGACTGAGAGAACAGGAGGACACAAGACCATGGGACACAAAACATCCCCTTTATCTTGACCTCATCTTCTTATTTGTATGGCTGTTCCACCATTAATTGATTAGAATATCAATCTATTACAGACTCTTGAAGTAACTCCTTTAAATTTACATCAGACTTAAATAATAATAACTTATTTTCTTATCAAATAATATTATTACAGTTTAATTTTGTATTTGATTACTAATCAAAAACAATTCCTGCAAGTAACCAAAATCTCTTGCTTTTGAAAACTCTCACTTTTGTTCCTGACAATCTGCATAATAGATAATTTTGCAGCATGAAAGTGATTACAAATGGCCTGCTTTAATCAAGCATTTTTTGTGCTTAAATTTTCCTTCTATTTATGATTTCATCTTTGAACTAAAAGTCTCAAATCAGCATTTTTTTTCTTTTTTTTTTTTTTTTTTCCTTAGTGGTCTGGTACAGATTTTCTTATTTTGTCACCTGAATGATTGCATATATTGCAATAGAAGTTGAAACCTCAAAACCCAGTTAAATGTCCATCTCCTTATTTGAGCTGCATGTTTAAATCATAGGAGGTAATAGAAAATGTAATTGTGAATTCATGTCTGTTACCTTGCAATTATATAATTATTAATTTATATTCCAAAAATCTTTTTGTTGGTTATCTGAGTTAAAGTTTTTGAGGTGAAACGTATGAATAGAATGTAGCTGCATGCAGCTCGTTGGGAGTGTTAACTGGACAATTAACCGATCCATAATGCTCTTTAACAGTGTCCGCAAGCACAGTGACAATGTTGCCAGCATAATTTTCCTAGAATGTTTTGTTTGGTTTCACAGGCTCTGTTAGGGATGACTGATTATTTTAATTGGTTTCTGTGGGTATTTATGTTGTTTGCATGGCAAAAAGGATATACTATCTGTATTCAGTTACCTTGGTAGTTACTAGAGACTATGTAACTATATACTATATATTGCATAAGCTATCTACTTGAATTTTTACTGGTGTGCTTTAGAGGAGTCAGTCCACTTATATGTGCTTTTTACCTCTTGGGACTATTTAAGCAAAGTCTAGTACTTTTTCCTGTTTCTGACTTGCTTTTTCCATTTTTCTAATACCATCTCCTTGTCTTTCTAATGTTTTAATCTTCTGCATCCATCTCCTTTTTTTTATTCCTGCATCCAACACTGCAGTTGTTTTGCAAGAGTGTCTGAGAAGCTGACAGAGCGATGAGGGAGAAGGCTCATGACAGAGTAGTTGTAAACAGTTACCTATAATGGCCAGATGTTGTACTTCTGGTACAGAAGGATGGTAATACTTCTGGTTTGTAAAAGTACTATAAAATCTTTCTACAGGAGATTGGAACAGGAGGTACGTGTCAGTGGAAGATTTGTGGACTTAATCCTACTACAACGCTTGCCCTGTACTTTGAGGTGGTCAACCAGGTGATAAATATTTGTCTACTTGTCTACTGAACACAGTAATTTTATTTCAGGTGACGGCTGAAGCCTGTATTTTTGTGTAGTTCCCTCAAGCACAGCAGCAGGGGTACAAACGATGTTGCCATTTTGTGTTGTCAGAGTTAAGAGATGGATGCTAACAGCTTAATGAGGAGCTACTCTTCTTCTTGAATGTGATGAGAGCCAAAGAGCTCTACAAATTTTGGATAGAGTTCATACTCTAAGTTCGATTTTTCTTTTCAGTTTTACTTATTAAAATGTATTTCAGTTGCAATGTATGAAAATACTGTAATCTGTATTTTTAAAAGTGCTTGTCAGTATTTGTCTGATGTTTTAGTTACAAGGTAATTACTTGATAATGTTACATTTTAATTTATACTTTAATTGTTCAGTATTTGCACGTAAATATTGACTTCATTGAAATGCCTCAGGGGCGTATATCCTGGTTTCCTGTGTCCCTGGGTGGGGACTAGGAAAGAGGATAAAAACATGACAAGCAAACGTGCTGCTTCCTTCTATGACTTTCCCTTCTTTCAAATGTTTCAAGCTCAGGAACTATGTGAGTTGGCTGTAGTTGCTATACATTTAGTATGCAATATTGCATACTTTATAACCTATGCAAAGTTTGAAAGCTTTCATTTTTTTGTTTTACTTTTTGCATATTTATTTTGGTCTCTTCTTATGACCAGCTCTAAAACTGGTCTGGTTATGGTGTGTAATAGTTGATTTCAACTGTCCTCCTATTTTGGAATTACTTACCTTGTTAGCAGCTTATAAATCTGTATTTCCACTGACCAGAGTTTTGAAATTTCAGTTTACACCCAGATTCCAGTCTTTATGTTTTGATGACACTTCCTGGAATTCATTAATCATCACTTTTAAGAGTAGTATCAGTTTTGTTGCCCTGTAATTCTAGTGAATCCTGTGATATTCAAATAGAAGCTAATAAAATCAGCAGTTGTAACACAGCCCCCTGGAAAGAATTGTCTTTTTAAGCGTATGTGGAAGGGAGAGAGCATTCGTTACTTTTGTGTCTGGCAGCAACTGCTCTCAACATCCCTTAACAGTCTCCAAGTTTATTAGCCGTGTTTAGTAAAGGTACTCAAGATAATAAAAGCACCAGACCATGCATTTATATAACTTGAGCTATCTATTGCTAAGAATTTTATTATTTTCTAGTAATTCATTTATACATTTTTGAATTATACTGTAAAATTTTGAGGTTCACCTCCATTTAATTTTTTTTCCTCCTGTACTTAGCACAACGCTCCCATTCCTCAAGGAGGACGTGGTGCAATCCAGTTTGTGACTCAGTACCAGCATTCCAGTGGGCAGAGACGTATCAGAGTGACCACAGTTGCCAGAAAGTATGTTAAACTTCTGACGAGTCATTTTCAAAAAAGAAAGATATACGTTTGCCTCTTAATATTTAGATTTTGTAACCAGTCTGTTGTTCTGAGATATGCAGTACCACAGGTGGTGAAGGCATGATCATACCTTTGAGACAGTTGCCTCTCTTGTTCTGTGAGCTGTTTCCTCTCTGAGAGGTTGCAGTGGCTGTATAATGATGTTATGGGAGTGCTCGGAAGTCACCCAAGTGATTTGAGATGAAGTTTTGAGTGAAATTCTATGGCCTAAACTGAGGAGACTGTCAGATTTAGGGAATGGCAAAGATCACTTCCTAACTTAACTTGAGAGTGGTAGCTGGAGTTCAGCGGGGTGTAAATACCTGTTCTTCCATGTATAGCCTTTACATGCAGCTTCCTTGATTCAGTTTACTTCACAGTTTTAGAAGGTGATGTTTCATATTATGCAGGCATTTTTCAATGTCCAGTGACATTTCCTTTAAGTTGAAGGAGATTATTGATTGGTTGATTTGATGGAAGGTTCAGTTTATCAAAAAAAGCATTCCCCTTACTGTTGATATAACTGTCTTGTTAACCGACATTAGTTATGTTAGTAAAATCTTTGTGGTGACTGATAAAAGGACAGATTAATAGTTCACCTTGTAAATTAAAAAGAACAAACCAGGTGTGCAAGAAAACTGGTAGTATAGGAATGTGTGATTAGCTTAATGGACAGTGTTTTCTGTAACTTAACTTTCATAATTATTTTTTTTAATATAATAACTGTTTTGTAAGTGGCATTATATTTTATTACACTGGTTGCATGGTATCTGTACAAATAAGGGACACTTCTAATTCAGGAGTGGTTAACTGGGAGGCTGCTCATTTACATCCAGCAGATTCCTGAAGCTCCAGCAGGAGTTTATTAAAATGCTAACAGTTCTTTCTTTGCCTTAATTTTGAAGGGATATTTTGAGGTTGGACATCTTTCCTTTCACTCTGATGCAAATACTTGCATTTTTCTTTTGCAGCTGGGCAGATGCACAGACGCAGATTCAAAACATTGCTGCATCTTTTGACCAGGAAGCTGCTGCGATTCTCATGGCTAGATTGGCAGTGTACAGGGCAGAGACAGAAGAGGGGCCTGATGTGCTTAGGTGGCTGGACAGACAACTTATACGACTGGTAAAAAAGACTGTATTAAAAGAGTCACATTGGTTTCTTGTCTCCAGACATATCATTATTATTAAGTGACTAATGTTCAGTGATTATTTCTTTAAAAACAAAACAAAAACTGAACTGAGTGCTTAACTTCCACAAGTGGATATGCAGAATTAACTGAAAGTTCTGTTTTTAAATGGAAAAAAAGAGCAGATGTGTTTTTAGTTCACTTATTAATGTTTCCTCAGTCCTCAGCAGTTGGTAATTGCCAGCAATTGAGAGAAATTCTGTCATGAGATTAGCAGAAATTAAAGCTTTCTCTACTTTCTGCTACCTGTGATTATATTGTAGATGAACTACATTTAGCAAAAAAAAACCTCAAAAAGACAAAGTATCTAGAAAACCATATGGAATTTCTTTATTTCTTTATTTTTCTTTTACTCTAGTGTCAGAAATTTGGAGAATATCACAAGGATGATCCAAGCTCTTTCAGATTTTCAGAAACCTTTTCACTTTATCCACAGGTGAGTAGAAGGAAGATGCATCTGTAAGGGATAAAGAGAGAATGTTTAATGAAGGAAGAGGCACTGTAGCACAGAGTAAAATAAGGCTTTACACTGGGTACCGGAATGAAAAGAAACCCTCCACCCCCCCGTCTGGCATGTGACATTAGGCAAATTGCTTCTGTCATCTGTGCTGCTGTATGTACCGGAATGAAAAGAAACCCTCCACCCCCCGTCTGGCATGTGACATTAGGCAATTTGCTTCTGTCATCTGTGCTGCTGTATCTGCTTTTGCCCCTGTCCTTACAGCTGAACTCCCTCTAACTGTGCCTATTTTTTGTTTCCCCTGTAATGGAATCCTTATCTTACCTGAGTTTGTAAGATAATGACACTGGGTTTTTTTTAAGGACAGTTTCAATGAGGAAGTTCAGAAAGCATGAGAAAAGATAAGGTTTTCCTTTGTTGGTTCTTTTATACAGGGTTTATAATACTGACCTGAAAAGAACCACTTTACTGAAGTGCACTTGAGCTCGACTATGTTAAACTTTGGATAGTTTCTTTGCTAATAATCCATTCTGGTAAATTTCTCCATTCTGATCGCTCCTGATATGTTGATTTTGGACTCGTCATAGGCTTCCATGATACTTCTGTTCGAGTTATCTGCCAATCTGTCTGAAGGTGTTAAGTGTTGTGGAGAGATTGATTCAGCAATCAAATTGAATTAAAAAAAAAAAGTGCTTTTCCCAGTTTACTAAGTTCAGCTTTGCTGTGGCTAATGTTCTCTTTTTCTGTTCACATGCTATAACTTGGTTTGTGTGTTCAAGCACAACAGCTTCCCTCATAGGAACAGTAGAACTTACAGTAAAGGAAGGATTTGGCAATATTCAGTCATACTGTTTATCAGTTAGTACTGGAGAAGAAGAAATATTAAACCTTTCCCTTAATTCAGAGTTGCTCTGTAGGTTTATCCATTCTGATCTCTTTCTCTCGCTCCTGTGAGAATATATAAAAACTGGCAAAGGTGCGTAATGCAAGTTAGAAATGTTAAAGGACTTGGAATTCAGTTTTGTTGTGGCATTGGTCTCGTGGTTTGTGGAAAACATTTTTCTCCTTGTACAACTCTCCTTTTTATCTGTGAAAGTTAAAACAAATGTTTTTTGTTTTGCAGTTTATGTTTCACTTGAGAAGATCTCCTTTCTTGCAAGTTTTTAACAACAGTCCAGATGAGAGCTCATACTATCGTCATCATTTTATGCGTCAGGATTTAACCCAGTCGCTTATCATGGTTCAGCCGATTCTTTATGCCTACTCTTTCAATGGACCTCCAGAGGTATCATTATATATAACATAATAGTAGGTCAAAAAGTGCTGTTTTAAGAGAGAGATGATTGTTGTCCTCACTGTTACATGTTGTAAAATGTGTGGTTTAAAATTTATTGCATGAGAAAGAATATTCATTTAATGCAGAACTTACTATGAACAAGGCATATCTCAGAATATTTTCTATTAGTTTTTGCAAGCTCTAGGAGTTTTGCTTTTGTTTTAGTGGTGCCAGAATGGAAACATCCCCAAATGTGTTTTTATTTCAAAACGTACTTTTTCTGTAGAGTTTAAAAGAAAAGTTGTTTGTTTTTTGTTTTTTTTTTTTTGAAAAGTACAAAATTCCCCCTATCTTAACACTCTCATTCAAAGCTTCTAATTTTGATGTGGTTACCGTTATGTATAGATGTGGTGTAGAACCTTCCAGCTGACCTTATAATGGCAAATTCTGTGTAAACCTAAAATAAAAAGATGATCTTCCAAGAAGCTTGTGAAAGAAGCTAAGATAGAAGACAACAAAAGTAGTCTGATAGATAAGAGAGAGCGAGGAAATGTAAAGACAGTGAAAAGAAACATAGTCAGCAAGGATCTTGGCAGGCTGGAATTCTAACTTTTGTTAGGATTTTTTTTTTTAAAAACTTAAGTCATGAGGATAAAAAAAGACTTTTGAAAGTGGAGTTTAAACTGAAGTAATGAGGTGGTTTGTGAAGAGCTACTCACAGGTGTAAGATCGTTCTCCCATGCATGAATAACAGTCACATGGGTGATGCAAAGGAGAAGCATGATCAAGCAGGAGCTGACACCTCAGTGTAGAACGAGTAATATTTTTTATTTTAATTCTTGGAATAGTTAATATTTTTGGTATCACTAATAAGATTCAGCTAAGTCATATAGTGCAAATATGGTGTCACTGTCCTTAAAAAGGTGAATTAAAACCTTAAATATTACATTAGATTTCTTAAATCATGAGTATTTACCATATACAGTATTGCTAGGTAGATATGCACAGTAATAATAGCTGCAAGGACAAGACTAAAAAAAGCCAAACAACCCCCAGCACCCAAATCTTATACTTGAATAACTACTGAATCTTTTTGAAATATTTTTCAGGTTAATGACATTGTGTAGGTAAATATGGAGGTACCTGAAAGACTAGAAAATTGCATAATAATGAAAGAGGTTTCAGCTCTTGAATACAATTTTTATTACTTTCATGAAGTTAATATTCAGAATCAGACTGGATAACTTTAGAATGAGGTTGCATGCGTTGCAGATGTATAACATGAAAATGAGCAAATATGGAGCTTTAGTAAGTGATTTAAGAAGTTCCTAAGATTCAGTGGGTGATTCAGAAAACTGGTAATGCCATCTGATTGCTCAGTTCTGCATCAGTTGGTAATTTTTTATTTATTCTTAAATCTTAGCCTGTTCTCCTGGATAGTAGCAGCATTTTACCAGATCGCATTCTCCTTATGGACACCTTTTTCCAGATCCTTATTTATCATGGAGAGGTAAGATTTGCCATTTCTTCCGTAAGTATTCTTCTTCTGTCGGAGTGCTACAGTATGAGAGTCAAGCCCCAGCTCTAAAGCACTCCAGTGCTTGACCTCTCATTTGCATGGCTGACACTAGATTCCTAATTAATGTTTGTAGTTTGGTAACCTAACATGCCCGTACACAGATACCTGACATTACTTGATGATTCGGTGCTGTTTGTTATGATGGGTTTAAGAACTGGCTTTAAGAATTAGTGTGCTAGTAATTATTGTACAGATTTGTTTATTTTAAATCGATATTTTTCCAACTTTTGAGAGTGTTGGTCCCTGCACCCCCCCTTGCTTTTCACTAATTTATTTTAGACCTCTAATTTAGTTCTTCGGGGATAGGGAGTTGGAACACCAAGTTTTATAGTCACCCTTCATCTGCCCTGTCCTGGAGGAATGAAACTGCTCCTGGCAGTTGAGTAGATAGACATTCACTAGTAATATAGATATAAATGCTTGTGACTTGCTAGTGCTTTGCTCCCCCGGGGGAATTTAGCTGCTGCTTTTTATTGCTTTGCAACTGTAAATGGTTCCCAGCTGAGAGTTGGAGAAATACTGTTCTGGATCATGTCCTTATAGCTGCACTGTTTAAAATAGTTACTAAACTTTAACACTTCTTAAGTAGAAAAATGTTTTCTGTATTTTTGTAAGATGCTGTCAGGAAGCAGTAGGGGTGGGCTGTTCTCTGAGGGAAGGGGAACAGGGAGCTGAGCGTGATTGCAAAGCAGGCAGAGGCCTTACCAGCGAGTACCTGGCCCCACATTACCTGAGCAAGGCAAGCAGAGCAGTTTGTGGGCAGTAGCCAGGTTCAACCACCAGTCCAGATCATCACACAGGTCCATGGGGATGAGGCAGATCCCAGTTCAAGCCTGGAAATCAAGTCCCTGGGTGGGGGACCAGATGAGTGGGCTGCATGGCCAGGTACAGGCAGGGCTGCAGTGGAGCTCAGGTGGAGCCAGGACTGAACCTCAGCTTAAAGCAGCTGCCAAAGGAGGGGGGAACCCCTACTGAGGCTCCCTCCAGGTCTTTCCTAACAACAGCCCATATCAGTGAGCTGACCCTGAGCCAGCTTCGCTCCTAGAAGGTTGAGAGGCTGCACTTCAGGCCCTGAAAGATAAATAGCAGTGTAAATATTTATTTCTTATGTGTCATAGACATGCATGTTAGAGAACTGTAAATAATATCCTTGACCTCGTGAACTGGATGTTCAGCATACAAAGGGTGACAAAAAAGGAAATACAGAAGGACCACAAATTGTTAGAGTTAAAAAAAAAAAAAAAATTAAAAAAATCTAGTGGCATGTTACTTGCACATCTTGGCTTTTAAAAATAAACTTGTGTACTATAGGGTAAAAAGGGGTGAGTGATAGAAAAGTGGCCAGCAGTGGCACATTGTCCTCTGAACAGCCCTGTGTATCCTCTAAGAAAGATTGTTGAATCAGTTCTAAACTAATTTCTTCCCCCTATCCCTAGACCATAGCTCAGTGGCGCAAATCAGGTTACCAAGATATGCCGGAATATGAAAACTTTCATCACTTGCTACAAGCTCCTATAGATGATGCACAAGAAATTCTCCATTCCAGATTTCCAATGCCCAGATACATTGATACAGAGCATGGAGGAAGCCAGGTATGGTAAAATACATATTATATAATTTAGGAAGCGATATGTTAGTAAGTCATGAGTTTTTTTGGTAGTAAACATGCATTTCTCTGCTAAAATATATGTAAGTTGCAAGTGAAATTTTGAATTTCAAAGGTTTTACAGAGCCAGATATTTAATAGTAGCTTTTTCCCAGATTTGTGAGTCCTGTTGTTTATTACTGTTTTTGCCATACTGACTTGGACTCTCAGATTCCTTGTGCGAGGTATATAAGACAAAAAAGTTAATAACTTGTCAGGGTTTCTGAACCAATACCAAAAGTATTCTTTGTGTTATTTTTTTGAAACTTATTAATTAATATTTTATTGATATTCACATTTGATTTGCTAGTGCTTATAAAAAGACAAAAGCTTACTTTCTGCTGTATTGAGAAGTTGTTAGCAGTTCTGTGTTATAGCTATAGAATCCAGGGAATGGCTTTAATTTATAGAGGTGCTACTTGCTCTTCTGTGCAGGTTTTTATCTCCAAATAACAGAAATGGTGTATTTCATAGACATCTAACTTCTGAGTACAAGAAACTTGTATTTAAGAAGATTAATTTATTGCCTGTGTTTTGTTTTTTAAAGGCTCGTTTCCTGCTTTCAAAAGTGAATCCCTCTCAGACTCATAACAATATGTATGCATGGGGACAGGTAGGTGTGAATCTGCTGATGGAACTTGTATGTGTGATTTTATGTTCTTTTTCCCTATGGCAGCAGTCAGGTGACGTATTGTGTACATGTAAGTAATAATGCCAAGTTTTGAAACTGAAGAGGAAATGCAGTTTTGGTCTGATGCCACCAAAATTGCAAAAGTTAAGAAGAATGGATTTTATTTCTTCAGACAAAAATGATCTGGTTTGCTGTTTTAAGCTTCTTAGGCTACTTTCATGTGTAGCCATCTTTCTTGGAGAGATACTTTCAAATTTCTCAGAATGAGGGCACTTGCCATACATAAAGACTAAGGGACCTTTTTGCAATAGGGGAAATAAATTTTGAAGTTAGTTCTAAGCAAGAACAGAAAAGGACACCAGTACCAGTGTACTGATGTTTTCCAGAATTTCTGTGGGCTAGGGGATCAGGCATCAGTTTTTCAAATCTTGTGTTTAGGAAGGAAGTTATGTAAGAGTTCAAAAATTAACCTTTCTGCAGCAGCTTGTATTCTTGAACATTGCATCCTAGTCCTAGTCCCATGTTCTCCTTCTAAATTCAGCTTTTATAGTGGGAAGAGAAACCTTGCTATGGGTGAATGCTGGTGCAGTGTAATTTTCTCATGAAAATGTAATGGCATCAGACAGCTGAAGCTACATATTAACTGTACTTATACAGTGCTTTACTAAAGGGCATGCAGTGTTCAAGTCATGAGTGAGAGAGCTCTGTAGCAATTTTATGGCAGTGATTTTTGTCAGGTAAGTTTTACCAGGGAATGTTTTCGTAGCTGGTCCTAACAGAAGTTCTGTCAGGGAAGAACACTGAGATCCAGTGTGAAAACACTTGAAAACTTTGTTCTGAGTCAGGGACAACGCGATTGGAACCCAGCTCTCTTGCCGCTAAAGTTGATAACCTAACCAGTAATCTGTTACTGCCTCTCTTCATCATATTGCCTCCACAACATACACACAAATCCTGTCCTTTTAAAGGTCTTGTTTTTATCTAAACGTTACCTGGAAACCTTTGAAGTTTTGATGTTTCCGACAGTACAGGACAACTGTTTCCTTCACGTTTAATTAGTAAGCAAATGAAACGGTATTCCAAATGTAAACGCAAATACAAAACAACTTTTGAACTGATTTCTAAGGAAATCGTTCGTGGTGGACAAGTGAGAGTCTGATACATCTTAGAAAAGACTGCTTTCCCTTTTAATGTTGAAAATAACTCGGTTCCAGGGTAACACAAGAAATGGTGTGTTAATCTCCCCAGTGGCATTGCAGCATGTGCTCAACATAATGTCCTCCTGTGTCTGCAGGGTTTTTTGTGAATAAAGTTGAACCAAGTACAAATTCTGAAATGAGAAATGCAACTGTTGGGGGAAAAAACCTTAAACTGAATTGGTTTTGCTTCTGTTTTTCTCATGAGCTTCCTGGATTGTTTCATGAAGTTTTATTTTGTGCGCAACTGAGTCTACAGAAAAATTTGTTAGTCCACAGTGATCTGAAGAGGGCAGCCACACACCACTGAAACAGTGTTTCAGGAGGTGATGAATTGACTAGTTTAGTTTTTAATGTCGTAAGTAAAGATTTTCTTAAACCTTAGCAGGTAGGTGCCTGATATAGTATAGAAAACATTTTCAGAAAATAATGGAAAACTTTTCATACAGCTCTCTTATGTTGGTTAGTCTTTGAAGATGCAGTTGAAATTTTCAGATTGTGTTGGATGTGACATTTATTTCTGAATGCCTTTATTTCTGCTTTTTTTTAAAAAAAAATAATCTTTTTAATCTTGGTAACTGTGGGAAGTTTGCAATTTGAAACAAAAGAAGAGGTCATTGGCACAAATCTTATCAAATGCCCAGCTAGCTGTCTCCGAATCACTGTTAATTTAGGTTCTCATTGTATGCCTTAGATCAAAATTTTGAATGAACAGAAAACAAAACTTAAGGTGATCTGTGAAAAATCAAAGCTAATTCTCATGTACTTTTCAGACTTGTACGTTGTAACCTTGCTGGTTTTCACTTTATTCCCCAGCAAATAAAACACTCTGCCACCTTAGAGGTGACAGCAGCTGCCTGTGTGCATGTGTCGGATGAGGTATTCAGCTTCAGGAATGGAGTCTCTGCATTGGTTTTAACTACCCTGGATTACCACTAGCAGTCATCGTGAGGGATCTCTTTTCTTAGGGGTCTGTCAGGTTCTTTGGTGGTTTATTTGCTAGAGGATAATGCAATATCCTTTCATGCCGAAGACAGAAGGTGGCAAATCATATCCTGCCTCAGAATTAAACTACTTATAATTCCCTTGTGGCTTCTTAAACAGGAGAGCTCAGGCTCGGCGTTTGGCAGGCTTGGCAGTAGAACATCCTTTATTCTGTCCATCAACTGATAGATAATTTAGTGGGCCTTCCCCGAGAGTAGCTGTGTATTGTGTCAAGTGTATTGTAATGATCTGAGAACTCTTACTGCTCCTGGATTTGTCCCTTGATCATTAACTGCAAACTGGTTTTGGCCAGTTCTCAAAAAAAGGGCACCAGTTCTAAGCATCCTTGTTAAAGCCTTTCATGTCTGTGTTCTGGAAGATTTTGTCAGAGTTCATACAGCACTGGTTTCCCTTGGAAATATGGGTGCTTAGTAACTTTGAAAAGGCTGAATTGTTGAGATTTATAGGAACTCTTCCTACATCTCTAGGTGGAAGTAACGGCAGATTGGTTTCGAAGGACTGTGTAACATTTGCAGAGTTGCCAACTGCAGTTTTATTTAGACTGTAAATTTGTATAAAAATAGTAATTAAAAGATGACCCTTTTGAACTTCTTGGATTTCTGAAAATTACTTTTGAGGTCAAAAAGTAAATTGTAAAAATCCACCCACAAGGTTTTTAAAAATCTTTTGTGATATGATTTTGCAATAGCATGACCTTCAGATGTTGTTTTTGGTGTTTCTCTGAGGTGGCGCAGAGCTGTAGGAGAGAATTGGCCCAGCTTTCCTTGAGAAAGCAAGTTGACCTTCACTCGGTGTCAGATCAGGTCCTTGGTGGATTTTTTTTCCTCCTTTCTCCATTTTGATATGTCTGAGCTTCACTGACAGATACTGATTTGTTAGTTGTGTCACTGGCATGTTTCTGTTTCTCTCACCTTTGTTCCACTGAGGTAGGAGTGATACAGGAACTGTGGCATGGAAGTTTTATTTACTTTTAAAAATTTGTAAGTTAGTATTTGGCAGCTGTCAAACTCTTAAGTTTCTATGGTTGATGTAAATATATTGCTATACTGCAGCTTATTGCCATAGGCATTAATATGGAAGAGAGTGTAGTTGTGCTTTGTGCCTGAATTTATGCAAACATATGAAAATTTATGTAAATATACAGTCTGCTGGTTTTTTGTCAGAGGATTTCAGCAATAATATGCTTCTAAGGTCATTCTAAATTTATAAAGTGTTTATTTAATGGAACATACTGTGCCTTAAAATGCTTTTTCTTCAAATGAGTATAATCAATTCTTCTTGTTTCCTTTTATTTCATAGGAGTCTGGAGCACCCATTCTTACTGATGATGTCAGTTTGCAAGTATTTATGGATCATCTGAAGAAACTTGCTGTCTCTAGTGCTGCCTGAGATTCTGCAGTGCATTAAAGGCACAGATAAGCTGTAGCCGTGTTTCAGCTTTTTCTCCTTTACCCTTTTCCATGTCTATCTTGACAGAATGCTCTGATATGCACAAGCTGCCTGACTAGATATAAAGCAGTGTTGTTTTCGAAGAAAATCTTTTGTTATCAGCAAATGTTTTAATGTGAACTGCAGTTTGTAAAAATGACCAGTGGTAGATTAAATTAAATTATAATTAGAGGAAAAAGAACAGTCATTTTGATTACTGTGATACTATAATTACTTCGAGATAATTTATAACAACTTTGAGATGTGATTTCAGTTTCGTTCTTAAATGGTTGAGGTTGATTCTGCTCTGCACTACAAAGGCACATTGAACAATAAAGGAAATCTTTGGTGATGTTGGGTGTTCCAGACTGCCATATGACTACCTTTGACTACTCCATTTGAGCACAAAGTGAACAAAGAAGCAACAAAAAGTGTATAAAAATAGCATTAACTCTTTTGACTTAGGCTGCCCAACTTTTCTTTCCTGCAGAGATATTATTGTTCATTTTAAAAGTATTTAATTTCAAATATTTCTTCCCATTTACCTCACTTGATTCTTTGGGAAAAGAGTTTTTCTTTATTTTCACATAAAGAATTTGAACTGAAAAAGTAAAAAAAACCTATTACTGCACAAAATTTAAATCTACCTGTTTTACTTTCGACAAAAATACCTATTATGGAACAGCTGAATACGCTCAAAAGTTAACACTTTTAGCTTGAGCTAAGAAGAAATCCTACACTACCAAAATGAACTGACTAAGAGTAGAGCCTTGATTTTTGTCTTGGCAAATATACTTAGAAAAAAAATAAATATATATTTACTTTTCTATTATTGCCTTATAATGTTATTACACTAATGCATGACACTGCACATCTGCTTTTTGTTTCTGCATCCTTCTTGTTATGAATTCAACAGGCTAGAGTTCTTGTTGAAACAGTATTACATAGAATATGATGTAATTATTTTGATATTTAGTTCATACTTGATTTTTTTTGGAGGTAGATAAATTAGTAGGCTTTCCCATTTACTTGTTGAAGTTTACACATAAAACATGTTTACATAGGTAATATGACATTTGGACGAGTAAAGATGTGAAATGTGGCAGTGGGCAATAAAAAATTGTGCCAAGTCTAAAGGAAGAGAAGGAGTTTTGGCATAGGAAATTCAATCATATACCAGTATGATAAGCATGAAAGTTTTTTTCTGTTTTCTGTAAATTCTCAAAAACTCGATTAAATCATTTGCTCTCCATTTCTTTGATCTAAATGAGATGAGCTCCTTTTGCCTCAATACAAATAAAATACGTGTTTTTCTTTTGCTTTTTTAATTTATTGTGCTGGTTTCTGTTGGTGCTTGAAATGGAGTGTGGAAATAAAAGTAATAATGATAAAATTTAAAATAACTTCATAACTTTTGTTCCTGTAATAATTGTTATCACACTTTTTTAACTTCCAGAGATACTGAACTGTTCACAACAGTGCCAGTTAAGGAGATAAAAATTCCTTAGCCCTCTTGATTTTGTTTTGGTTTAGCTAATAAACAGCTTTAAAAAAATTTTCTCGTATCACTAAATATGTCCAATTTATTTGGCAGTTAAATACTGTTTAACTAATAAATTAGTTCATCACCAATTCATGATAATGGATGGGATTTTTTCATGCTTTCCTTCCTACCCTTTAACCAGCTTTCACCTTGTAATAGCTTATTTTATTCAATCTCTTGGCAACATTAATTTCTTTTGTAACTTCAAAACCTTCTGTATCTTCTTTTGTAACTCAAAGACTTTTTGAAAACCCAGATACATCTGGTGTTATTACCTTTATCCTCCTGCTTATTCAGGCTCTGTGTCTTTAGTGAGACAGGCTTTTCCTTCATAGGCAGCATGCTGACTCTTTCCCAAGAGCCAGTTTCTATCCATAGGCTGAGAAGTCTTGTTCTTTATTATAACCTCTACTGTCTTACCAGGCATAGAGATCAGACTACTTAGTCTGTAACTTGCAGGATTCCCTCAACAGCCCTTTTTGTGGATGAGGGTGACATGGGTAGCAGTCTGCCAGTCACCTGGAACAGTGACTGTCTGTAGTGATAGTTACACACGTGCACTGACACCTCCGCCCTTTTATGTTTCCCTTTCTTCAGAACTCCTGGATGAAGGCCTTCCAGTCCTGGTAACTTGTTAACATCTCGTTCATCTACTTGGTCTAATACCTCTTGCATGTTTACCTAGGTCAGGTGAGCTACACCATGGAAGTAAGCTGTTTGTTATGACTGAGAATCGATCAACATTTAAAGTCAACATAATACGTTGTAGGGTTGTGCTATAGGAGGTAGTGATTTAAAAAAGATAAATGGCTGTTTGCTGTCCTTGCTAGCATCTGTATTGCTACGTTTCTTGGTGAAGAGATGCTGTTGATCTGTTCAATATCCATGACACACAGCCGTCTTATCACAAGGGTTGACCTATTTAGCTATGATAGCAGGCTTTACAATGATTTCTTTAAATATTTGCTTTTGGCAGGATACAGATGGGAAATCAGAGAAAGAGTTTGTCAGATCTCCTTGTGAAAAACACGAGGCCTTTGACTTGTAGTCTTCTGCACAAGTAGCCTTCTGCAGGACAAGGGCTAAAACAGTTGCTGACTGTTCTGTCAAGGACTGGGAAACTGAAGACAAAATTATCCATGGGCAATCAGAGGCAGGGGAGCAAGCAGTTGGGTGCAGCTTTCTCTGCTTTGTTAGGCAGGCTGAATTTTAGAACAGTGCAAAATCTGTTCTTGAGATAAACTTCCTCGCTGGACACATCTGTGCCTGAAGCATTGCCATCTGGGAGATACGTTTGTCTTGGAGAGCAACATAGGTGAATCTGAAGTTAATGTTTTGCCAGGATCACGAAATCGGATGGAGACTCATAGCAATGCAGCAGCTGTTCATGTTCTTAGATATTCTTGTTGCTGGTGTTTGGACATCATCTAGAAAAGCACATTGTGATTGGCAGTCCCTGCATGGTGCCTGGTCTATAAGGGATTTACTTCTAGCCTGTGGTGTTTTTCTCTGGACCAGTTTTCAGGCTGTATGTGTTACACAAACATCTGAATTTTTCTTCTCTTTTAATTGCTTTAAGCCCATTTATTATGTCCACGTGCCATCCATGTGTTTAGATCAGCCCACAACACAAAACTTTTACTGCTAGCATATTGTGCTAGGTATATATGCTAGCATATTAAAGATTAGGTAAAATGTTTGCTGGAGCTTGTAGGCATGAGAGCCGCCCTTCATTCAGTAAAAGAAATGATGTTTAAGCTCTATTTTGGAATGAGCCATTTAGAACAATAGAAGCCATCGTCCAAAATGTGGATGTTGATTCTGTATTTATATGTATAAAAACCTCAAACTCCAGGTGTTTCTGACTGAACCTCAAAACCAGACTCTTTGCCATCCACACAGATGTGAATATGGTGGAAAGAAGGTCGGAACATCCCCTGACAGCGCTCTGCTCTTTCACTGGTGAGACAGGAAGTCTCTGCTGTTTGGTTTCTTGCTGATCGTGAGCTGCTGTGCTAAATGCCCAGGCTTGGCCTCTCCTCTCCTCTCCCCAGACTTCACAGGTCTGGGACTGGCACGGCTGGTACATTAAGAACCTTTGGAAATACTTTACAGTAATTGAATCCATGTTATGTTACAGCTTCAGGGTCTCCTTTTCTGGGGAGTTGAGGATATTTTTTAGCTAATCTCTGTTTATTGCATCATTTCTGTTTTTTTTTAATACCAATTGTCAATAATTTGCTTTCCTCTTCAGCCTGTCATCTCCTGCTTGGTTACAAGTTATCTAATTTAGACACAGATTTAACAAGCTCAACCAAAAGTTGAAGTTAGATGCTTAAAGGCATGCAGATTTGCCTAGAAATACAAATAGTCAAGTTCCTAGAACCTCATAGGTTGGTCTGCGAGATTATGAGATCGATGAGTGGTCCCAGGGCTGCCTCCAGCACACAATGGCATCTTTTGAAAATTGCACGTCCCAATGTTCTCTCTTTTCCTTGGTTAAAAATAATAGTTGATGAACGGTGACCAGGAGCCTGTCCTGTTCTTCGACCAAATCTGAGGCAAACAGCTGTATTATCTCCCCCCTGTCAGATTGTGGAGCACAATACAATTGGGCTCAGTTTAGCTTTTGGCATTTTGGGTTCATACAAAAGTTAAATGTTATGTGAAAGCCAACAAGCCTAAACAGACAGATGGAAAAATTAATGAAGCAGTTGCTCTGCTCTGAATTTAATGTAAAATCTCGTTTAAAGTAGCAGATTGTGCCTAATAGCGTAAGCTTTTTTCCAAAGAAAGGACTGTGACACTAAAAGATAAAACAATTAAATCAATATCTATAAATGGGTTTTTGGCAAAAAAGAAACAAAATGATGACTGCATACTTTAATAATGGAGGCTGTCCCCAACATCTTCACATTGTCCATTGCGTGTGTCTTTGCATCCTCTTCCATGACTGCCGCGAGGTGTCCAGCTGTGCGCTGCACTTGCCATCAAGTGGAGGAAGAGTTTGCTTTGAAGCGAATGTGTGTGGAATAAGCAATAAGCTGTCCTTTGCCCCTCTCAGGGAGAAATACATGTGTTGTGTCGTGGGCTACAGTCAGCTTAATGCACTGGAGCGGGGCACATTCACAGGGTGTTTCTCTGGCTAGAGAGTGGGTAAAGACCAGTACACCTTATTAGAAAAAGAGTGTGTGTCTCACAAAGCCCAGATATGGCAGCCCTGTAATTTTCTCCTCCCTAATACTAGGAACAGGCAACCACTAAAGGGATCAGCCACTTTCAAAGCATGTGTATAAATTATGTAACTTAGAATCCTCATGGTTGTTGACATGGGGTCCAAATAATGTGGGGATGGCCTCTGAGGTCCCTGAACGTGCACTTCCTTCTAGGTTAGAACTCACTGCTGTGTGGTTGCCAACCTTTTGACCTCAGAAGAGATGCCAATGACTCATGGACCACAGTTCATACTCTACAGATAGCATGTGGAACTGTATTGCTTTTATAGGGTTATTAATAAAAGTTTAGCAAGGCAGCATAGCCATGTGTGAAAAACTGAAGCTAGGTGGAGACCTGTAAAAGTTTAGGTGACACTAGATTGGTATGAAGTAGCTCATGTAATTAATAAAGTACCAAAAAAGAGGAGGTGACATTTCTAGGATTCAACTGTGATCTCCTTTTTGGCTGCTTACTGGAAGCTGGTATATATGTCACTGTTTTCTGTAGCAGCACAGAAGGTGCTGCTCATGTTTGAGCCTTGGCTCTGAGTTGATGTGAACCTTTTAAGACCCTATTCTATATGACCTGAAGACAGTGCTACCATGGGAGAGCGATCTTTTTTTAATTTTTTT